ATGTATAACAGAGCTCCACAGCAATAATACTCCCAGTAATGTGTCTGAATGTATAACAGAGCCCCACAGCAATAATACTCCCAGTAATGTGTCTGAATGTATAACAGAGCCCCACAGCAATAATACTCCCAGTAATGTGTCTGTGTGTATAACAGAGCTCCATAGCAATAATACTCCCAGTAATGTGTCTGTGTGTATAACAGAGCTCCATAGCAATAATACTCCCAGTAATGTGTCTGAGTGTATAACAGAGCTCCACAGCAATAATACTCCCAGTAATGTGTCTGAGTGTATAACAGAGCTCACAGCAATAATACTCCCAGTAATGTGTCTGAGTGTATAACAGAGCTCCACAGCAATAATACTCCCAGTAATGTGTCTGAGTGTATAACAGAGCTCCACAGCAATAATACTCCCAGTAATGTGTCTGAGTGTATAACAGAGCTCCACAGCAATAATACTTCCAGTAATGTGTCCGAATGTATAACAGAGCTCCACAGCAATAATACTCCCAGTAATGTGTCTGAGTGTATAACAGAGCTCCACAGCAATAATATTCCCAGTAATGCGTCTCAGTGTATAACAGAGCCCCACAGCAATAATACTCCCAGTAATGTGTCTGAGTGCATAACAGAGCTCCACAGCAATAATACTCCCAGTAATGTGTCTGAGTGTATAACAGAGCTCCACAGCAATAATACTCCCAGTAATGTGTCTGAGTGTATAACAGAGCTCCACAGCAATAATACTTCCAGTAATGTGTCTGAGTGTATAACAGAGCTCCACAGCAATAATACCCCCAGTAATGTGTCTGAGTGTATAACAGAGCTCCACAGCAATAATACCCCCAGTAATGTGTCTGAGTGTATAACAGAGCTCCACAGCAATAATACTCCCAGTAATGTGTCTGAGTGTATAACAGAGCTCCACAGCAATAATACCCCTAGTAATGTGTCTGAGCATACAACAGAGCCCCACAGCAATAATACTCCCAGTAATGTGTCTGAGTGTATAACAGAGCCCCACAGCAATAATACTCCCAGTAATGTGACTGAGTGTATAACAGAGCTCCACAGTAATAATACTCCCAGTAATGTGTCTGAGTGTATAACAGAGCTCCACAGCAATAATACTCCCAGTAATGTGTCTGAGTGTATAACAGAGCTCCACAGCAATAATACCCCCAGTAATGTGTGTGTGTGTATCACAGAGCTCTACAGCAATAATACTCCCAGTAATGTGTCTGAGTGTATGACGGAGATCCACAGCAATAATACACCCAGTAATGTGTCTGAGTGTAAAACGGAGCTCCACAGTAATAATACTCCCAGTAATGTGTCTGAGTGTATAACAGAGCTCCACAGCAATAATACTCCCAGTAATGTGTCTGAGTGTATAACAGAGATCCACAGCAATAATACTCCCAGTAATGTGTCTGAGTGTATAACAGAGCTCCACAGCAATAATACTCCCAGTAATGTGTCTGAGTGTATAACAGAGCTCCACAGCAATAATACTCCCAGTAATGTGTCTGAGTGTATAACAGAGCTCCACAGCAATAATACTCCCAGTAATGTGTCCGAGGGTATAACAGAGCTCCACAGCAATAATACTCCCAGTAATGTGTCTGAGTGTATAACAGAGCCCCACAGCAATAATACTCCCAGTAATGTGTCTGAGTGTATAACAGAGCTCCATAGCAATAATACTCCCAGTAATGTGTCTTTAAACTACAATAAATGTGTTTAGAAATCAATCTGTAAATAAAATATATTGTTCTTATTCTAAATTAAATTTTATTTTATAAATTATTAGAAAGTCACCTAAAATTTATCAGAACAGTCCAAGCCTTAAATGAAAGCGTCCCTCCGTGTCCATGTGAAATGTTGGGACTCGAGAGGTAAGAGTTGCTTTTGGAACTACAACTCCATTAATTGTGCACCAAGAAAACAGAGTTGTCCACAGCAGCTGAAAGCGTATGTCAAAGTAAGCGTAGTTGGTCTTATTCACTAAATATGGAGTTGTGTTCAGTTAATAAAAAATCTGCTCTAGTCAAAAAATAGAAACCTATTCTAAAAATTCTTCTTCAATTAATTAACGGTTTGACTTGAAATTGGTCACTTTAACCAACTGCAGGTCACTGCTCAGCAAATAAACCCAATTTTGACTCCTTTTCGTAATATATTAAAAAATAAATTCAAACACTAAAACACAGGTAATATGGGTGTTGTACTTTATCTGCCTTTGTCCACAAAGTATTCCAACAGACAATGGCGTATTTAAGGAAAGGGAGGGGGTCTTGCGTCATCTGGTTGCAACACACAACGACAAACATCTTTAACAAACAAAGACATTGTTATAACAGATATTGCATATATAATAATTATATACATTTTAACAGTCCAGGAAATGCATGTAAATAAATTTAAAAATGATTTCATGACAAGCTCTGTATTTCCCATTTTATTGGCTATTGCGGTTTTCCTAAACATTGCCTTTTAATTTAAAAATGATGAACAGAAAAAAAAAATAGCCAGATTTTCAGCTTGAATTCCCCATTTCAATGTACGTGACAAGTCCACGAAAATGTATCACACAATTCTTCATTTTCATGGGACGCACACACACACAGAGTGGACTTTAAAAAGCAAAAATAATGTCCTTTTTTTTTTTTTTTAAAAGAACAAAAAAATAGAACAAAAACAAACAAAACAAAAAAAACAACAACCTATTGATTCAGATAACAGAGTTACAAATTCTGTACCAATAACGTCATCATTTTCTAACGGATGGTGACTCCGTGATCTAGTCCATACCTTGCTCTGGTTTTACAGCTATTTCTGCATTTCCGTTGTACATGATGTGCAAGAATGACAACAGTTTATAGAGTAACAGTTTCACAATATGTAGAATTCCTGGCTGGGATGGTGATATCACAAATATGAGTTTCCTTCCCTTACAGTGATGTTCACACCTTTTTCCATCGGTGGGAAACCAGTTATGTTTTTTTGTTGTTGTTTTATTTATTTTTTTACAAGCGATGACATTAAAAAGGTTATTTTTCAAGCATAGAAAATCACAACAAGCGTCAGCGCAGAAGGAGAGTTGCACCAATTGGTTTAGGCCTTTATAAAGTCACCAATGAATTCTTGATCTTTTCAAACCTTTTTTTTTATATATATGTTTAGTCATGATGATGAGAATGTAAAAAACTGACCTACTGCTTGACAGACTGTGAAACCGTTTTGAAGTTTTTTTTTTTTCCCAATAAGTCAATATTATGCGATTTTTCTTAAATTTTTTCTTTATTTTTAAACAAAACATATCCAAAAACTGATTGTAACACAGAGATGAAAATGTCACGATTTATTTAGTAAGGGCAACACGAAGCCCAAGCGTAATCCTTGAAAGGAATTTATTGTATTTCTGGGAGTCGGTATGACAAAAAAAAGAAAAAGAAAATACAAAAATAAATTATTACAAAAAAGTATTTTGAGAACAAAACAGGACTTTTTCTTGTGTCACGGAGTGCAACAAAGTTACATGGCTAAAACAAACACTAACCGCTCTCTCTATAGCTTGCTATCAATATGATAATCTAGCTATAGATAATTTTTTTTAATTTATGGATATAATATTTTCTTTAAATCTCATATACACATTTGGCAAACGGTTCCGTGGGGTAACACCACCAATGTGCACATTAATTACTATCGTATTGTTTTATTTAGATGGAATCCATAACAATTTTTCTTGCAATTTAATTATTTTATTTTATTATACCGAGCTGAAAAAGTACATTTTATTTATGGCTTATGTGCTGCTATTTTTAATTCATCATATAAAAAAAATGTAATAAAATCAAATAATATTTAAGATCTGTCTTCAGCATATATTTTTTTTAAATTTTCTTGAAATTAATTTGGTTGACTATTTTAAAGTAATTTTATAACTTTGCCCATGAATAACTGTTATTATTGTTTATTTTAACTGTTGCCAAAAGGAAATATACTGAGTGGACATACATTAGTGTTTGTGTTTCATTGACCTATAATGGCCTTTAAATCATTCCTGTAACTGTAAATTGTGAATACAGAAAATATAACTGCTCATTAGGGACAAAACTGTTAATGAGTTCCGGTAGGCCATAGTGCTACGGAATTAATAATTTAGCTGCACTTAAAAAAAACAATTAAGTTAAAAAATATATTTGTGCACAATTATCACAAACTGTTACATGTATCTCATACCAGTGCAAAAACTCCAGTGTATACCTCTCTCTCTTTTTTAATACATTATTATTTTACAGAATACATTCTAAATGATCCATGAATCCGTGGAGACCAAACACATTCTCACTAATGCTTTTTAAAATGGAAGGAAAAGAAATTGCAAATACAGGCACAAATTAAGATAGTGCTTACTTTAAGGTGCAGTCGTTTTGTTTTTTTATAGATTTTTTTTAACAGCTACTTTTAGTTTGCTTGTGCAAAAAATGTTAATTATCTTTTTTTTAAATGTTATAAAAAAATAAATAAATTGCTCTCATAACTATGGATGAGGAACATGTTAGAAATTCTACCACAAACCAAAAAAATAATTTTGTATTTTATTCTAGTAAATATATTTTCTAAAATCTTAAGACCCAATGGTTTTTAATAATTTTTCTGTATTTTTCTATAGCTAAAGTGTGTAATGCCCTGATTTTTTCCCCACTGAAACAACCTTTAGATATCTGCTGATGAGATAAATTATGTGTCCGTTTTATGCCACTTATTCTGGATTAATGGAATACAAAATTCTGAACAACTGGTGCAACTCACCTTGGCTGTGCTCCAGCTTCTAATGTTACATTAGACACCAACAAAATATAAGGGGAATAAGTCACATTCCCCATATCTTTCATACTTTGAGATCGCAATAAAACTGCACTTAAATTAAATTATGCACTTGTAATCTCCACTTTGCATTGGAAAAAAAACTTGGTGGTCTCTTTTACCCTTACCTATACCATTAAATTAAATGCAGTTAAACTGTGTATACAATTAAAAAAAAAAAAAAAGGAAAAAAACAAAACAAAACAGGTTTCTGTTCATTTGGGGCATATTTGGTCACAATGGCTTTCGAAAAAAAGGACATCAAATATTAGCAAGTGTTCCTATCCAAGATGTGACTTACATGTCTAGCATGGTTTAAGAAACATCCTTAAGTTTGTTCAAGAGGAAAACGTTCCCCTCTGAATCCCTTCCCTCTGACCAAAGGGAGCGGATGCCAGCTTCAGTCCTTGTCAATGCCATGCAGAAGCTCAGTGTGCAAGTAATGAACATTCCTCGTAACTCCTTTTTGTTTTAATCCTGTGTCAAATGCTTGGGTCGTGTGTATTTGAATGTCCTCTTCCTCCAGGCAGTACATGAACTTCCGGTGAAATGTGATTTTCTATCTTGACCGTTTCCAGATTCCCCTGACTTTTTCCAGTAATACCTTCTGCAGAGTACATGCAGTTTTGACCTAGGAACCTTGCTGTACTAGATAAAGCAACACTTTCCAAGTGATTTTTTTCTGTCCTGTGGACAGGATCCCTTTGCTTTCGATGGCCGCTGTTGGATATGTTATATTTTGGGCTCAAATTGCTCAGAAGTTCTTTGGAGGGACAAGAATCCAATCCATCTAACAGCTGGCCCTCATCATCTGTGTCGGCGTCTATATATTTATGTACATTAGCATCGTGAAAAGTAAAGGCTATTGCCATCTGTTTTTCAGGAGACTTGGAAGGCGTTCGAGCACTAGCTGTCGTGTACATTGAAGTTTCAGGACTCCTTACCGACTGGTCAGAAAACAAAGAACTGTCAAATTTAGAGTGAATTTCTCTATGCCCTGAGGGGCTTAATATATTGGTGGTAGGTAAAAGATCACTTGTATCACCTTCCAGAAAATTTACTTTTAGAGACCTTAACATTAGAGGGTTTTTAACCTTTACTAAACCTTTGGGACTGTCTAAAATGAATGTGGAATGGCGGCTTCCATCGGCTTTGGTGTACATTTCAGTGAAGCTTTCTCCACTGACATTCATAGATAGTGGTCTATCCCTTCCGTCTTTAATTTCACGAGATATATCCCTCCCAGGATTTATATTAGACCTGTATGGAAGAACTGCAAATGGACTATGAGAGAACCTTCCAGATTCTGGAAAATCAGCAGTACAGCTAATGAAACTGTCTATGCTGGACATGCTTCTCATATCAACAATGCCTTCCTTGTGAGTTGTCAAAAGTGGGATTGCCGGACCTGGGATTGTCTCCATTTCAAGTTCTTCTGTTGGTTTGCCCGTCTGATTGGTCTCTTTTGATGTAAGTATGGGCTGGGATTGTGTTTTTGCCATTTTGTTGTACATATCTTCTAACTGCTGGACATTGAGGTGTTGTGGACTTGAGCAAGATCGAGACTTCTCTGGAGAACCCTGATCTTTCCCATCAAAAGACTTATTGGAACTTGTCTCTGACAGGGTCCTCTTTGTCCATTTCCATTTGTTGGGTGATAAGTGGTTATCCTGTACTTTCTCCTTCGTTCCTGTATCATCATCAGTCTTTTCAACTACTACATCCATAAGTTCTATACTCCGGGCAAAGGCATCTTTCATATTCATTGAGACAATGCTACCATTTCGTTTGGCTCGTTCAAGAGCTTCTCTTCGTTTAATGGCTTTCTCCTGACGCTTTTGTTCCTTGTAGAATTCTGAGAAATTGTTTACTATAATAGGAATGGGAAGAGCTATTACCAATACTCCAGCAATACAACACAAACCTCCAACTATCTTACCTAGAAGAGTTTTTGGGTAAATATCTCCATACCCAACAGTAGTCATTGTAATGGTAGCCCACCAGAAAGACGCTGGGATGCTTTTGAATTTTGTGTCATCTTCATCTTTTTCCGCAAAAAATACCAAGCTTGAGAAAATCATAATTCCCATGGCAAGAAATAAAATGAGCAATCCAAGTTCATTATAACTTCTTCTCAACGTGAAACCCAAGGACTGCAGACCCGTTGAGTGCCTGGCCAACTTTAGAATTCGTAGTATTCTCATAATACGGAAAATCTGCACCACTCGTCTAACGTTTTGGAACTGAAGTACACTTTTGTTGGATTCTGTGAGGAATATTGTGACATAGTATGGTAAGATTGCTAACAAGTCAATGACATTAAGAGGTCCCTTAAAAAACTTCCATTTATTAGGTGAAGATAAAAATCTGAGGAGGTATTCCATTGTAAACCATGCGATGCAGACTGCTTCCACATGTGCAAGCTGGGGATTGTCTGTGCTTTGTCCAAATTCATCTGTACCTTGTAGTTCTGGAAGTGTGTTTAGTGACAAGGCAATTGTAGATAACACAATAAACAGAATGGAAATGATTGCCAAAATCTGCAAAGAAAAGAAAAAAAAGAAAACTGTATTAGCCGCTTCAATCACTAGACCGAGAACATGGTAATTTAGCAGTTAGGTGACTTATCTTTTATTTAATAGCTATATCACAGGTTTAGCAACCTCCTAGCCCACCCTATATAACTTTTCCTCAGTATGGACGGAAGAGGCGGAGGTGTTATCCCTATGTGGTAGAAAATATGGGCTGCATACTAAACTCTTACCCTTCTACCCCCACCGCATGGTATATTTAATGAAAAAATATAGGGATTTACTCACTATTCCTCAGTTTCTGTGCATCCTCATGGGTGTTACTCTTACACCCACCTCCTGGCCGTCCTAATCTATACATTTGGTAGAACTATGTATAGATAAAATGTTATGCTCAGTCTAATGTCAGAAGCTTTTTAACATTGGTGGCAGCAGAGCCCTGGTAATTGCCAACTGGGTGCTGAGCATTGACTTTATTGAATTTAACCATTTTAATGCCCTTATATTTCTGAGTCCCTTCTTTAAGTGGGTAATGGGTTTTTTAATTAGTGTCTTAGTGTGTAGCTTATAACTGCAAGACTACCCCGAATTAATACATAAAAATCCATTTAGTGATTACATACTGGGAAATATTACATCATGACAGCTAAAGTAAAGAAAGTTTTTTTTATATATAAATATAATATTTAATGGCTGTAGGGATTTTTTGTTTTGAAACAAACATTTTCAAAAATATATTTATGTATTTCTGCTCATGACAATTATTGGTATTATTGATCAACATTTGTTTTAAAGGTTCACTATAGTCACTAAAACAACTTAATTAGCTGAATAAAGCAGTTTTAGTGTATAGATCATTCCCCTGCAATTTCACTGCTCAATTCACTGTCATTTGGGAGTTAAATCACTTTGTTTCTGTTTATGCAGCCCTAGCCACACCTTCCCTGGCTATGATTGACATAGCTTGCATGGAAACATGGTTTTTCTGTTGTTTGTTTTTTTAAATTAGATGTTAAAGGACCACTCTAGACACCCAGACCACTTCAGCTTAATGAAGTGGTCTGGGTGCCAGGTCCAGCTAGGGTTATCCCATTTTTTTTTATAAACATAGCAGTTTCAGAGAAACTGCTATGTTTATAAACGGGTTAATGCTTCCACCAATTCTTCTAGCGGCTGTCTCATTGACAGCCGCTAGAGGCGCTTGCGTGATTCTCACTGTGAAAATCACAGTGAGAGCACGCAAGCGTCCATAGGAAGACCGGCTGAATGCGCGCGCAGCTCTTGCCGCGCATGCGCATTCAGCCGAATGGGAGGATCGGAGGAGGAGAGCTCCCCGCCCGGTGCTGGAAAAAGGTACGTTTTTACCCCTTTCCTCTCCCCAGAGCCGGGCGGGAGGGGGTCACCCTCAGGGCACTATAGTGCCAGGAAAACCAGTATGTTTTCCTGGCACTATAGTGGTCCTTTAACTTACTTTAAAAAATTTATATTTTAATCACACACTGGAAACCCCTGTAGAGTCTAGTAAACTATTAAGAAAGCAGGAGATAAGAAATTCTAGATTAAACAGGCTGTGCAGTAAAAGTGTAAACATTAGACACTTTACAGGAAGTGTTTAGGTAGGCTTTCATGTAAGTTACACGCAGGGAGGTTTTTTAACTCCTAAGTGACAGAGAATTGAGAAGTGAAACTTCAGAGGCATGATCTATACAGCAAAACTGCTTCATTAAGCTAAAGTTGTTTGGGTGACTATAGTGTAAAACCTGCATTAATTATCAATTTTATGTTTAACCACTTCACTACCAGACTCTTTATGCAGAACATTTGAAACATTGCATGTAGAGCAAGTAGATATGGAGATGGGAAAAAATAATAATAAAATGATGTACATTTACACAATTTAATCCTCCTGTGGTCCTACTGGGGAATAGAAGGGTAGATTACATGCTAGCTCTAATTTTACATACAGTAGGTTTGATGAAAATTAAAAGGTCTAAATAACCTATTATGTGGGCAATATGCAGACATTATTTGTATAATTATGGTTTTCTATATATACCACCACTCTACGAACAAAGCTTGCAGTGTACTTAGTGTGATCAAAGCCTGCCCTCCCAGTCTGCTATAGTGCAGCCATGAAGTTTCATCTAAACAGGCTTCTGTCGTGTGTGATGTTAGGGAAGGATTTTCATTCCAAGCATTATAACCATTGCTAAGCTCTAATGACGTGCATCTGGTGTCTTCAGAATTGTCTCCATTCATGGTCTGAGATAGTCACCTGACTGCTCTCAGTAAATTAATGCTATTATGTGCAAAGAAAATTTACTCAGAATTGCAATTAATTAAGCCCAGAACTCGTGCTGAGCCTGCTAATGACATCCAATGACACTGCCGAAGGTGGAGTTTCACATCCGGCTCAGAGGGTTTACACTCTTTATGCAGGACTGACTGCCATCATAAATTTTGGGGCCCTCTTACACAGCTCAAGGCCTGCACCCCTATTCCGCCACCATTACACAGTGCCGTCCCGGTCTCCCCTGCTGGGATGTATGGAGTGTGGGTACAGGGATTTTTGAGCCTGTTTAGCCCCTGAGGTGACCGGCTACCAGAGATTGGAGCTGGGCAGTCAGCTGACGCAGGGCTGAGGCAGGCAGACGAATGGTCAGCTCATTGAGTCAGGACACAGGCGGCTGAATGAGGGAGTCAGGACACAGGCAGCTAAATGAGGGAGTCAGGACGCGGGCAGCTAAATGAGGGAGTCAGGACGCGGGCAGCTAAATGAGGGAGTCAGGACGCGGGCAGCTAAATGAGGGAGTCAGAACGCGGGCAGCTAAATGAGGGAGTCAGGACACAGGCGGCTGAATGAGGGAGTCAGGACGCGGGCAGCTAAATGAGGGAGTCAGGACACAGGCAGCTAAATGAGGGAGTCAGGACACAGGCAGCTAAATGAGGGAGTCAGGACACGGGCGGCTAAATGAGGGAGTCAGGACACGGGCGGCTAAATGAGGGAGTCAGGACACAGGCAGCTAAATGAGGGAGTCAGGACGCGGGTAGCTAAAAGGAGGGAGGCGAACCGCGGGCAGCTAAATGAGGGAGTCAGGACACAGGCAGCTAAATGAGGGAGTCAGGACGCGGGCAGCTAAATGAGGGAGTCAGGACGCGGGCAGCTAAATGAGGGAGTCAGGACGCGGGCAGCTAAATGAGGGAGTCAGGACGCGGGCAGCTAAATGAGGGAGTCAGGACGCAGGCAGCTAAATGAGGGAGTCAGGACGCGGGCAGCTAAATGAGGGAGTCAGGACGTGGGCAGCTAAATGAGGGAGGCGAACCATGGGCAGCTAAATGAGGGAGGTGAACCGCGGGCAGCTAAATGAGGGAGGCGAACCGCGGGCAGCTAAATGAGGGAGGCGGACCGTGGGTAGCTAAAATGAGGGAGGCGGACTGCGGACAGCTAAACGAGGGAGGCGGCTGAATGAGAGCAGCAGTGAGAGTAGTAATTCCCCTGCTCTGCTCCCTATAATTCCAGCCCCCGGCTCACTTAACCGCGCTCTAGGGAGCAGAGCAGAGAGATGACAGCAGCCCAACTGGACCCCAGGGAAAGCTAATCCACTCCAACTTTCCCAAAGGTGGAAAGGCTGGGTGGATTTAAAATACTAAAATTAATGATTTGTGAGTGTGAAATCAATGTGAGTGTCTGTCTGTCTGTGAGTGAGTGTGTGTGTGTGTGTGTCTGTCTGTCTGTGTCTGAGTTTAAGTGACCTGCCCCCCCTTCAATCCCATGGGAAAGGTGTTACTCACCCTTTTTCCCACGCCATGCTAGTGACGTGGCGGCTGGCCCCACCTCCCTGGCTGAGATCAATCTTTATAATCTCAGCCAATCCAATGCTTACCCATAGAAAAACATTGGGAGACTATTGCTCATGCGCGGCAAAGCACCATGCTTAGCAATCCACTTCTCCTCATAGAGATGCATTGAACCAATGCATCTCTATGGGGAGCATTACTGTAGGTGCTGCACACTGGACCCGGGAAGCACTTCTAGAGGCCGTCTGAGTGACTGTCACTAGAGGTGTTACCAGACAGCAATGTAAACCCTGTCTTAAGTCAAAAAAGTCAGTGTTTACATTGAAAGGTGTGCAGGGACAATATAGAGACTACAGAACAGCTACAGTAAGCTGCAGTGGTTCTGGTGACTATAGTGTCCCTTTAAGAATTGTATTTTTGATGTTCAAAAATCTGGTTCCTAACTTTTTTAGCTGGCTCCTAGATTTCAAGCAAATTTGTCAAGCCCTGGTGTAATACATTATGTACAGGGCTCGAGTCCTGCAGGAACGCATGGGAACGGCGTTCCTGCACTTTTTCCACAGCAGGAACGCCGTTCCCGTTACCTCTCCTGCAGGACCGGCCCTGCTACCTGCACTGAGGGGCCATCACACGCTGTGTTCCCTCTCCAGCTATAACTCTCGCGAGACCCGCGGCTGTTACCATGGCAACGCTCCGCACAGGCGAGTCTCGCGAGAGTTAGAGCTGGAGAGGGAACACTGCATGTGATGGCCCCTCTGTGCAGCGAGCGGCTGGCTCCCTCCACCGGACCACCAGGCTATCTCCCCCCTCCCTGACAAGGTAAGAAGCAGGGAGGGGGGGATAAAATAAAATATAGACACATAAAGTTAAAAAAAATGCTCCCCCCCCCCCCACATCATCCAAGACCCACACACCCATCATCCAGCACTCACACACACACCCATCATCCAGCACTCACACACACCCATCATCCAGCACTCCACACACCCATCATCCAGCACTCCCACACACACACCCATCATCCAGCACTCACACACACACCCATCATCCAGCACTCACACACCCATCATCCAGCACTCACACACCCATCATCCACACCCACACACACACATCATCCAGCACACACACACCCATCATCC